GGAAGGAAGGAAGGAAGGAAGGAAGGAAGGAAGGAAGGAAGGAAGGAAGGAAGGAAGGAAGGAAGGAAGGAAGGAAGGAAGGAAGGAACCCCAAGAACCCTTCATGGGCAGGGCCATGAGTCCACCAATGGGCCTGGCCAGCAAGTGCTTATGGAATACCTGCTGTGTGTCCACCCCGCAAGCTCCTGGGGATGAAGCAGGTTTCCGAAGGGGATAAGAGGGAACCATCACTTAAAGACAGCCCCCCAGTGAGAGGTTAGAACTGAATGATTCTGGCCACTGGAAAGAAAGGATAATTACAGGACATGGTAGAGGTGCTAATTATTGCTAAAATGACAATCTAATTGCAATATGAGAATAGATCAAATTAATGCTGTACAACTAAATTTACACAATGTACGTCAAATTTGTTTCAATTTTTAAAAGTTAGTAGAAAATTATAGCAACGATTAATTAACTGATGAATTAATTAAAGACAGCCCACAACGTGGCAGGACCAAAATCACTGCCGACATTATCCCATGTCTGTGAAGGTAAGGGTTCAGTTAATTAAGAAGTTAGACATTCACCCCTAAAACAGCACGGGAATCATGCCAGACAGCAGAGAAAGAATCCTAGTGAGGGGTGGAGGCAGAGAGGACTTGAGATACTTTGTAGAAAAATCCCAGTTGGATCTGGTTCTAAAGTCACCTCTCCTCACCCACCCTTCCCTGTTGCTGAACCCACCTCAGAGAACCTCACCTCCCCCTGACACCAGAGCTGCCTCTGACCTACCTGCTCATGGTAAAGTCTGAGCTCGGCCTGGCGGTGACAGACTGCCCCACCCTCTCCATCCAAGCCCAGAAGGGTCTGCACCTCCCAGCCCAGAATTCTCACCCATGGCTTTGCCAGACCCACAGCAGGGGGCCCTCCCCTCGCTACCCTCCATCAGTCTCCAAACCCCACCTCCCCAGCCAGCTCTGGGCTTCACTCCTCCCCACTCCTGACCACTCCTGACAATGCTGGGCTGTTCTTTGGTGCTAAGCCTGACAGTGGCAGGCACTGAGGGGCTGGGATTGTCTTGTTCTCAGACTAGAACGGACCCCTCAATGTCAACTGACTTCAAGTCTTGCCGTCCTCTCCCTGCTTCTCCAGGCCAGTGCCTGGAATGCAGTAGGCATAACATAAAGGCTTACTCCTTCCTTGGTGGGCGTGGGCAGCTCTCATCGGCCACACCTGTTCCCTGCAGGGGGACTACAGACACGTTTGAGTTCGACAGTGTCTTCTTGGGGGACATTGCTTCCCTCTGCGTGGGCCACCTCGCAAGGGAGGATCGGTTCATTCCCAAGAGAGAGCTGGTCTGGCACGTCAAGACCATCACCATCACCGAGATGGAGTACGGCAACGTGTATGTACTGGGCCCCCTCTCCAGAAAGTCTCACTCCCTCAATGGGGCAGGGCTGAGGCTGGGCCGAGGGGAAGACAGCAAGAGTGGGAGTGTGCACCCTTTGGGGCCTGGGCGGCCTCCCTCAGGAGCTGTGAGGTGGGGAGGGAAGGAGCCACCGTACTGGTTTGGAGATAGCTGGACCCTGAGTGTCCAGACTTAATCCCGGGCCACTTCCTTGGATGAAGCGTCAGGCAGATGGGAGGTCCCACCTCTCCCCCACCCCCATCACTGAATAATGACAAAGAAGGGCAGCTTTCAAGTCTGCTGCTCCCTGTCCGGTGGGTGGGTGGTAGCACAGGCTGGACTGGCGGGAGCAGAGGCCAGCTGGGGTAGCCCCAGGGCCATCTGCCTCCAGGCTCCCAGATAAGGAGCTTTGCATTTCCCTCACCAGGGCCTTCTGGAGGCTTGGGCAGTTCTGGAGGATTAAGGGTTTTAGTTACCTGGGTAACAGTCCACAGCCATTCCGGTTTTTCTAATTAAAACCACTTGGTAACCAAGTTGGAAGCCAGAAAGTGCCTGGGGCTCTGAAAGGCAGGAAAGTGGAGGAGAATGAAGAGGGGAGAGGAGGGGGGAGTGACAACCCCCCCCTTGGCTGGGGGGGTTCCACTGAAGGAGCACAGGTGCACAGCTCTGGCTGGGCTATACCCCCCCCCCCGCCCCCACTGCCAGCCCTCACCATCTCCTCATGCCCCTCAGGGTAACGCCTTCCACCATCAGCAGACCCGAGAAGCCACAGCCAGGCAGAGGCCTGCCCGATGAACCCAGGCAGGTCTCCAGACTTCTCAAAGCAAAGCCTGTCATGTGCAACCTGCAGGCTCCCTGGACTACTCCTAAATACCCCACAAAGGTCCCACCTCCAGACACCATCTCACTGAGGGTTAAGGCTCAACTCAGGGGTTGGGCAAGAACACGCTTCAGTCCAGAGTGGCTTCCCTTGGGCTGTGTTATTACTTGTGATTCTTCAGGGAGAAGGTGGAGCAGACTGCGATAACACTGTAGGGGGTGCCGCGCCCTGTGTTCCTGCCCCAACACCACTGATGAGCACAAGGGAGGGGGCCCCAGAGGCCAGGAGGGTAACTGACAACCCGCTGGCCAGGAGCAGCTCACAGCTCCTCTGCACACCGCCAAAATAAACAGAGCACAATCTTATAAGACAATAATGAAATAGTCATCCCTGAAGGTTAGCTTTAAGCCTACAATGTTGGGGGCCTCCCTAGTGGCCCAGGGGTGAAGTCTCAGTGCTACCACAATGAAAGCCCGGTGCAACAGACTGAGTTTGGTCCCCAGCCAGGGAGGTAGGTGACTGGCACCGCAGACCCCTCCTGTCTTACCTGCTGCTCCCCTCAGTGGGGTGTTTCAGAAGATCTACCTGTTCTGCTCCCCACTCTGTCTCTGGTGAATCCTCTCACCCTCCGTACCTCTGGCCTGCACCCCAGTTCTTCTACACAAAAAATAAGTAACACCTTTAAAAAAAAAAAACGTAATGTTGGTTATAAGAGAGACACTAAAGCGCTCAATGCAGCCCAGCAATTTCCGGTCTCAGGAGGAAGGGGAAGTGCAGTCTCCTGGCCCATGAACCTCCCCTGGATGGTTGTCCTGGGCTGAGTTGTAGAATTTCTCCTCCAGTCCAATGAAACATTTTTTTTTTCCTACAGCCTCACGAGGGTGGCCTTTCACTAGGAGGGCTGGAGAAGGAAGAGCAGCCGCAGGGCACGCTCTTCCCAAAGGGAAGGAGATCCAGGCACCAGCGCTGTCTCCTGGCCGGCTGTGAGGCCGTGGGAGCAGCCCCTCACTCTCTATCCATCGGTCTCCTTTGAGGAGGAGAACCAGATGCTTCTAGAGTCTAGTTGTGGGGAAGGATGCAGGGGCCCTAGCCTGCCTCGTGCCCGTGGCTTCTGATGGATGAGAGCCTGTCTCCCCCCAATGTCTCACCTCCATCTGGAAGGGAGATAGTGCTTCATCATTGTGGTTGTGAACGCGCCATGGTTCTAGAAACCACAGCATGGTACAGGCCACACACAGTTCCTTGCCTACCACCATATTATCCATCATGTTTGGATTTCCATAAGAGACAAACAAGTGCAATCTCAATTCTTACAAATGCAGGAAGCTTAAATTTTGGCTTCCGACAAGTCCTGGTGCTGACTCCTGTTGTGCAATGGCACAGGTAGCCTCAGGATTTCACTGGAAGGACACACAGGCAGGCCTGTATTTCTTTTTAAAACACCAGTTACCGCTTTATCTCAGTATCATATTATACATAATCACTACCAAAATTTGAGTAATGCAAAAAAGCATGTCAAAGAAAGTAAAAATACCCTCGTCCC